CGAGGGAACGACAAAGCAGGGCTTGACCAGATGAACCTTTAGTTTCTCCCGAAACATTCTAGGCTGCATTCGCACGCAGAGTTGTGGCTGTACAGTAGAGAGAATATTCCAATCATTAACGGTTATCGGAAAAAATGAGTTACTAAAGAAATGACTTTTATCTGCAAAACCAAGCAGTCGATTAGCATGATTTGACCTTAACTCATAGTGAGTATTAGGAGCCATATAGCGCAAAATCTGATGATTTACGCGATTGAAACCCATAATGTATACACATATATGCATTGTTTTATTTTTATTTTTTTTTTGCAAGTGACGTTACATTCACAACAATAAAACAAAAAAAAACAACCGAAACTCAGTCACACACGGAATTCTATCTTTATCTGATGTAGTTACATCTGTCTTCTTTCTTTCCNACAAAGATGGTATATTGAGCGATATAATGCAATCATTGACTGTGATTTTGTTCAGTATATTACTCTTTTCCTTCTTTCAAACAAATAAAAAGTTTATACTAACAAAAAAATAAATTTCACGCACTATAAAATGGCTTAACAATAAAATAAGCGTCCTCATAGACAGAAGATTTTGCACATTCAACAGACCATTTTCGTTTAATCCAAAAATCTGTTTGGGGTAAAACATCATCAACAATCAGTGATGATACATTATCACCATATAGTTGAATGTCTAAGTATAACTTAACTAGTAGTGGCAAATATTTTGAGATAAGTCGTTCCCACTGTGATGACTGGATCATAGTAATATTTGGTGTAGATCCAAACCAACGGAATATTACTAATTGAGAAAAACATTGAAATGCATATTCAATTGTGTATAATGTTGAACAATGTGAACCACGTATTTCTAAATGGGATAGCGATGTTCTTGCTGTAGCTGGTGTTGTCATGTTCTCATCAACGGTACTATCATCTTCCTCCTGAGCGATTGTAGCAATTAACCGTTTTAATCTTGGTAAGTATTTTAGAAATTGAATCACTGTCTTTATTGTCCAAGCGTCAGCAGCAATTAAGAACTCGATCGATGACACTGTTGCAACGTATGGTACAATGAATTCTGGCCAAGTCCACTTGAATTCCAATCTTTTCAACGATAACATTTGATCTGATATTAATAAACCAACTAGTGACCCATTCGTTGTGGTTGTAGGTACTTTTACTTCTTGCATCCTCGATTGATATAGAGATTAAATGTTGTTTTATGTGCGGTACTGTTTTAAATAAGTGCTTAATTACCAATATTTCCACGTCTTTCATTATTAATGACCGAATAAATGAGAATTTTACAATTATATCGTCATAAACAAATACATGAGCATAATGATTATTACTTGAATTTAATGACATGAGGCGTTTTTCATCAATTTGTGGTCATATTTGACTACAATATTGAATAAATTTCTCTCTCGATACTTGATCTAAATCACCATGCAATTGACAACGTTGTATGATAGTATCAATTCTCCGATTTAACCCAAAGAATGAGAAATAAATGGTGTAAGAATTAAAATATTGATATAATTCTATGAAAAGTGCATTTGAAAATATTTCCAATGTAGATATCTGATCATTATCTTTCGTCATTTTTGAAAATGCTTCACCACTCACCTACTGTGCAACTATCTTATATATATTGCCTTTTAGAACAATTTGGTATTGCACTCTTCAAACACATAGCATATTTCATCTTCATGTTTCTCCTTTTATATGTTATAATTTTAAGGGTACCTTAGATGTTATATGCTACCTTTTATATGTTATAATTTTATAATCAATCCATAAAGCGAATGAAAGCAACAATAAAATGATAACATTATTGATTGTTGAATTAATTATTTTACCAAACACCAACAACAGCAGCATAATAAACAACTGGCAAATTTATGGGATGGATTTAACAATGTTACATTCTAACGGTTCAAAAGAACGATCACAAATACAATTTGAACATTTATTAAAACAAAGTGGATTCAAGTTTAAAAGATTATATCGATTAGAATAAAGTTGTAGCTTTAATATCTGATTCAGGTACATTTTCTAATCGATATAATCTTTATCGATCGATTAAAAATTTCAACGCTTTATGGATCGATTTTAAAATTTGAACCACTTGTTCATCTGACCAGTCATGTAATATGTATTCCATTAGATCATCAGCAACAGGTACTGTTTGATAACCAAATGCATTACCTTCAACAATTTGACAGCGGAGGATAATAATTGATCAGTCATTATGCTCTATAAATCGATAATTCACATTGGAATCAACTGTGATAAAGTCTTGTTTAGGTCATAAACAGTTTTCGTCCTTGAAACTGATGGCAAACAAAAGTGTTATTAAGTTTCACGCTTTTATTTTGGCTCACTGACAGACATCTAGACATGTGCTGTCTATAAACATTGTTTCTATTTTAAAATACAGACTTTGTTTAGGATGAATGGCAGGACTATAGCCAAAGGAGAACTAAGAGATTCACCCTTCTCTGAACTTTGGAAAAGTTTTTTTTCGCTACATCACGTTAAATTTCCTACCTTCCATACTGTATCGCGTAGACCTGCTAAGCCGCTATCGAAGATCGTGTAGAATCAGCTAACATTTATTATGGTAATCAAACTAAAACTGTGTATTAGTGATGTAGAAAAAAGAGATTTCTTTCCTCTAATATAGCTGAATTGACACTGCTACTATTAGAGTAAAAGAAAACAGTAAAAATTCCTTTTTCTTTTTCCCGTCCCCTCGAACTGAAATGTTGTTGCGATTTGTGATCTGTGAAAATGTTTATCTCTGAGGATGGAAAAAGTCGGTCTTCTCTCGTAAAAGTCTTACTTACTTATACGAAAACGTAACCGAGTGAAATGACTTTCTGCTCATCCCGTAGACCGTATCATAGTTGTGATTAACTATGAAATGATGCGTGAAGTATACCAGCTAACACAATTTTCAATGGGCTTTGTGGAAAGAGCAAGTTTAAGTGATAGGGCTCTGTTGAAGAAGCAGCTCTATTTTCTTAATTGCTCCAAGATTTCCTCTCTACTTGAATTATACATAGCGTATGAACATAATTCAAACTGGTTAACAGATTGACTAGATCTTAAAATGGAATTTCTCTTTCTGAAGCAAAAACCACAGTTTTGTTACGAACTATTAGCTACTACAAACAAAGTGATATGATAAAACCACTGTAAAGGAATTCTATCCTTTAGTGAGTTTATTCGTAAACAGACTGAATTATAGATGCTGTAGAATGAGTAAATGGCTTAACAACAAAAAATAAGTCTCTTCATGGACAAAAGATTTTGCATATTCAACAGACCATTTTCGTTAAATCGTATTCATTTCTTCGTTAATGTAATTATTTCTTTTTCTTATTATTAAAGTTTTGACTCGACGTTTAACAAAACACCACTCTACACTAAATAAATTCATATTTATTTCAGCAAAACATTTTTAAAAAGTAAGATAACACTTTTTTAAGACCTCGACGTTTTGGAAAATTGTAATTTTCATTTTGAAAGCAATAAGAACATTTAGCGTGATAGAAAGTTAAAACGAATATGACTAATGATATGAAGACGGAAGAAAATGCATTGTTTTTTTCTTTTTCTTCGTTTTGGATAGACGAAGAATTGTCGTCTTTTCTTTATATCCATTAATATTCGTTCTTCCTCATCCACTTTTAAATTCTTCTCCTGTTTCTACAAAATATGCGATATTGTCGAATATCAAGGAAATACAAAGAGAACTAGCAACAGACAATAACGACGATGATGTTGACGATAATCAAGTGTTGTAGAATACAAATTCGATTATAACATATATATTTTATATGTATTTTATAAAAATTTGAATTTAAAGTTTTTTAATCGATCGATAAAGATTATATCGATTAGAAAATGTACCTGAATCAGATATTAAAGCTACAACTTTATTCTAATCGATATAATCTTTTAAACTTGAATCCACTTTGTTTTAA